GATAGATAAAAAGAAATGGGACAAGTTGTCCCTCCAAAAATTGTAGCTATTATCGTTAGGAATCAATATATGTATATTATAATTATTTCTTTATAAAGTAGATAAAGAGAGTCATATCATCGTGGGGCGTACCACGATCAAAACTTTTATGAAGCACTATGGTGCAATGGACTTGCCTGCTGGAATTCACCTGAGTGATATGTATTACTTGTACTGTGATATTTTAAGCAATTTGAAAAAAATTATTATTATTGACTGCAGAGTTATAATGATAATTAAAATAAGCTATGGGTGTGGTCAACAACTAACTAAGCTAATCATGGCACATGGGTAGGAGAAAGAAGAAAAGCTGAAATTTATTTTAGCATCTGAAGCTCTATTCAAAGAAAGAGTTGGCACAGAAAATTTTTCTAGTTATTTAAAAGAGACTGAGAGAGTTTGGTTGCTCCTGCTTTCCCCAGTGCCGCCTGAAAAATTCTCAAAGAGGCTAAATCACAAACTTTGAGCAACTGTAACTCACAAACAACGAAGTTAGGACAAAATCGTTCTTCTTTTTTTTCGTTAGATGGGATTTTCTATCTCTGAAGCAAATCTCGGCCCTGTAGAGGGAAACACGAGCTCTCACCTGGAGAGAGAGGTCCCCGGTTTAGCACTAATTCACAGCTTTTGGTGCCACGGGATGCTACAAAAAGCATAACTAGATGAAAGAAAGCAACTTTATCTGTTGCTAGAAGAAGAAATAGAGCTCTAGACTGTTCAGACAAAAAGATACTTTTTTTACAAATCAATTAAAATGTGTGGACAGAATGACAGAATGACAACCCAACTGCTTACTACCCGCCTACGCAAGCGTGGCGAGTCCAAAAAGCATTTTTGCATAGGCATACTACTCTTCTTTTGTCAAGGCTATATGCGAGACTATGCCATGTTGACATTGTTAACTTTTAACTATACATTTTTGTGCAAAAATTGCAAAATTCTCCCCTACAAACTATATACCACCTATACATTATATTATATTTACCTCTTGAGATTGACATTCCATGAATACCATCAGTAGGACCATCCACAGAATGAGGAGTAGCTCCAGTAGTGGCTGGTAGAGAATGAGGAGTAGCTCCTCCAGTAGTAGCTGGTAGAGGATGAGGAGTAGCTCCTCCAGTAGTAGCTGGTAGAGGATGAGGAGTAGCTCCTCCAGTAGTAGCTGGTAGAGGATGAGGAGTAGCTCCTCCAGTAGTAGCTGGTAGAGGATGAGGAGTAGCTCCAGTAGTAGCTGGTAGAGGATGAGGAGTAGCTCCAGTAGTAGCTGGTAGAGGATGAGGAGTAGCTCCAGTAGTAGCTGGTAGAGGATGAGGAGTAGCTCCTCCAGTTGTAGCTGGTAGAGGATGAGGAGTAGCTCCTCCAGTTGTAGCTGGTAGAGGATGAGGAGTAGCTCCTCCAGTAGTAGCTGGCATAGGATGTTCAAGAGCTATTTCATCAGCTAATGCTGAATTTCCTCCTCCTTCTTTAACAGCTACACACACCATTCTCCAGCAGGGCCAGCCATAACGCTCATAATCATAATTTTTCATTAGCCAATGCTCAATAACTTTCTGCAGGTAAGAAATTGCATTTCCATGAGAGCAAGCTTCTATGGCATTAATGTCAGTTATTCTCAAACGTAATGAAATAGCGAATGACTTCCAACTAGCAGAAATAGACTTCACTTTATCATAGACTGAGTGATACTCATCAATACCTGAAATACTCTTTATTAAATGTCAAATATACACAAAAACTTACTTAGTTCTTTATTGCAAACGTTTATAAAAGGAGCAGAGGAAGAATTTGTAGCCATTGTTGTTGCAGTGTATTCTACACCCACGCACAAACATGAGCCCCACCCAAAGTAAAATTAAATAAACTAGATACCGGTACTACCCAATGAATATTAATTTAAATAAAAATGGTGGTTACTGGCTATGCTGAAGGTAAAAATTCTCTTCTTTATATTTTTAGTCTTTTAGTCTTTTAGAAAAATTCATCGAGTCTTCTTTTCATTAATAAATTATTCAAGGACTTCTAGCCAATGATAGCAGCCACAAGTACTGTACAGCAGCTACACCTTTAAAAGTTATTATTAGTTAATTTTATTATGTACTACAGATTTGATTTTAGTAAAGATCAGTTGGGTACAATATACAGTGTCTAGTTTTGTGATTTTAAAAAGTATTCATTGGACAATTGCTTAATTGAGAGAAAAGTAATAAAAATTGCCTAATTCTTATTATTAATGACTCCAGGTGGAAGCTGTTGGTAAGGTTTTGGGGTTTCTATAATATCTACATAATAGCCGGATTAAATCAATTTGTATTATATTGGGAGTTGCCCAATATAATACAAATTGATAAGGAATAAAGATAAAAAGCCGTTATTTGTTCAGTTTGCTTTGGGAAACATTTGGACTGTCTACGATGCCGTGCTGGTTAAAAAGTAAGCCACACCCACCCACCACTCCCTTTAATTAAAACCTTATTTTAGGAACAAACCTCTAATTGATAAAATCACGAGCAGTTTGGGATTAAAAGTATGAGCACGTGACTCCACCCATTCTGACCCTTTCATCCATCTCACTGCTATATGTAGTCAGTGGCTTCCATTAGCAGCTGCAGTCCTTGGTATGGTGGTTAGAGTGTTGCCTAGTCCTAGAGGATTGAGTAGGGATAGACTGGAGAAGCTGATGTGTGCTGGTAATAGGAAGATTGACTCGTATCCAATAGAAACACAAGAACTGGTTGACAGTGAGTATAATACTGAATAGCGGGATAGTTTAGAGGGAATTACATGTAAATTTGGCTAATTGGCATTTTGATAGCAATTTGTCAAAATGAAAACCACCATTCTCAGCAAATATGCGCATGCTTAATGACACATGACCACAAATTTGCCAATTTAAAATCCGCCAATCAGCCAAAATTTAGCAATTCACCAAATTTTACTCCCTCTCAAATTTCCTGCTATACGGTAATGCTTCTGTATTGAATCAATTTGAATGATTTTAATTGTACTGTATTTGTGTGTCATATGCAGTGTGTGCATGTTCATTTCTGTATACTATGTAGTACATACAGTGTATGTACATGTACTAAAAGCAGACTTACTATACCATAGCTTGTACTTGTATTTTTAAACTTAAACAGCTCTATACACCTTATTTTCTAATTTTGTTTCTTGAATAGCTACATCGTTTATTTTTGTTGCTGTTTTTATGATATCTCCTACAAATGCATTGACTATTATGTGGATGCACTCTTTAATTGATTAATAGTTTATAAAATAATGATTAATGAATATCATTGAAAAGTCATTTCTACTTATTTTGGTTTCTGTACATGTACATTTTGTATTATAAGATATCGTCCTACATGTCATGTAGCTCTTCCATTGAATCTTTGACTGCTGTTAATGATAGTGACAAAGACATTTGGCTACATACATGTACATGTGTTTTCAATCTTTTAATTTACTGTAATTATAGTTTTACCAATAATTATAACACCTGGACTGTACTGTATTTGTAATCATTGTATTTGTCGTTGTTAAACAAACACTTTGCAATCATTTACTTTTAATTAATAGCTACACCACCAAGTCTACGTTTATAATAAGATTAAGAAGTCAATGTTACCTTACTATGTAAATGTACATGTAATGTACATATTCCTTACATGTATGCTCTAATAATGTTTCATTGATATCATTTTTTTCTTAATGTCTCTCCCCCCCCCTCTCTCTCTCTCTCTCTCTCTCTCTCTCTCTCTCTCTCTCCTTTTAGGTTTTATATCCTGTAGTCCTGAGCCTCATGCTCCAGTTATTGTTTTTATTTCTAAAATGTTTTTGGCTGATCTTTCTTCAGTCCATGAGACACAGACCAGGTTAGTTTTATTCCTCTCTGCTTCAACCCTTGAGCATGAACACCCACAGGAAATTAACACTCGAAGAATTGAAGGAGAAGAGAGAGGCTTTAATTAGAAATTTACGTTCTGGCAACACTAAACCAGCAAAAGCCAATGAAGACAATAATGAAGGTATATTTACATGTACATACATGTACACGTACATGTACGTGTACACATACATGCACACGTACATGTATGTGTACACTACATGATACATGTACATGCATTTGTACATGTACATACAGGGTTTCCTTTTCACACAGTGCTCATGCAGGTTCTAATCAATGGATTTTAAAGTTGATCCACTATACAGGGTATACTGTATTTTTTGGATTTGCTAAGAGAGATTTCCATTTTAAAAATTTGTTCTGATGCATGTTCTTGTGTAAAGTTGTGTTGTATGAATGTTTTGGGCTGATTTGGATTTTCTAGGAATTTATTAAGTTACTCAAAAATTGAACCAAAGTCCCTGTGCTATATAGTGCATGGTTGTTGGTCAAATTTTGTCAAAATTGAAAAGTTGAGAATTGTTCATTTTTATAATTTTTCCTGGTATATATACATGTTCTTATGTTGTGTAGAAAGTTTGAGCTGGTTTTAATCAAAATTGTATTTTTTACAAATTTTTAAAGTTGCTCAAAAATCATGTCAAAGTCCCTGTACTATTAGTAACGCGGTAGCGTTACTAAGTAGGATTCACCCCCAAACAAAATGGCTGCCACGACTTTTGCAGCCTTGCTATACCGGGAAAACGAGCTCCTATGCTTACCAGACTTTATAGAGGACCTTATCTTGACCAGAGGACTCCAATGGTACAACTAGCGTGACTCTAGACCTTGTCTAAGTGAAAAGTCAAAAATCGGCGAACCGGCCGTTTTGTTCAGCCACCTTTTTTCATCTTCATCATCATCATCATAGATATTATACACCGAATGG